GAAAGAAGCAAAAATAAAACCTGGATTTTCAGTTAAACTTCTGATTAAGAAGAGTTTTCGAAACTAAAATTAAACACAGAATACATTTTTGAATCATGAAAATCCAGTCCTGAAAAAGATTAAATAAGCTGTTTTTCAAGTGATTTAAAACTCTAAAACAGTATTTTTCAGGGGTGATTTAATATTCAAGGAGATCTTTTTAGGCACAATAGATGAAACCTTTTTTGTAAACAAAAGAAGCAGTAAATACACATTAACCTAGAAATAAACAAACAAAATAGTACATCTGACTCCTATGACCATATGCAAGTATTCTCGCTCTATTGGGGAAACAAACAAACGAAAACCACACACACAAAAAAAGCAAAAAACAGAAACAACTAGATTTCACAGTAAGGTATGAGCTACCAAATAATATAGCACTAAAATATGCACAATGACCATTGAAATGCAAAATATGAAAAAATACGTAGGTTATGATAAACAGAATTGAGAACAAGGACAATATGAGCCACAGGTCAGAGCAGTCAACTGCACCTTAAAAAAAAAATCTCAAATTTGGAGTATAAAAATAGTTACTGACCTACATACCAAGAAATAGCAAGTAACAGCAACCAGATCATCATCCTCCAAGGAATTGGATTGGGAACCAGCTTCTTATCACCTGAGGACCATGTGCAGGGCCGGAGCACAAAGGTAATGAAGTAGGTCCTCAATGTGGGACACAAACCCCCAGGGCTGAACATGGCAGAACTAGTAATGGTTCTATTGACAGCAAACCAGGCAAAACTGGATGAGAACTTTCCACACCAGAAACCATTTAGGCATAAAGACCACCACCCAGTAGCAGAGTTCAGATGGAAATAGCCCCAGGCTGAGCTGAACTGGGTCCTGGGGTGGGGTGGAGGTACCAGGTGAGGTTATTCAGTTGTTAAGGCACATTAGGGTCCACAGGCTCAACTAGCACTTCTGCAGGTTGTTCTTGAAACTACAGAAGGCTTAGAGCACACAATCATGGCTTGCAGTGCATGAGAAACTCTGCAGAAGTAACTGGTGCAAGACAGTTAAAGAAAACATGCTAAGAGTTGAGGGCTATGAACATTTTTAGTTTTCCATGATGCTCAGGCATATGCATCAGGCCTCTTGGAAACTCTGAGTAAAGAATAGGACAACTCCTATGAAAACCTGGGATGATGTGGTTCAGTGACTCAATGAAAAATCAGCACCTTCTGTACAGAATTTCTGTTTTCATATTTTTTAGGGATGCAATATTTCTTTACATACAGTATTTTCAAGCGTTAACACCAAGAGGTCTCTAAACCATTCCCCTTTTCCTGGCACAGCAACAGCTTTTGAAAAATGATGATTCCAGAGGTCCCTTCTGACCTTAGTTATTTTATGATTCAAAGTACTCAGCTCACAGCACTTTTAACTAACCAATTTTCAAAGACAGATGCAGAGAAAAATCAATGACTCCTCAGGACTGTTGACTTGGAGGCATGCAAAAGCATTATCTACTTCTGAATGTGCCAGAACAGGATTTTTCACCTGCATCATGAAGTCATGGAACTTATTTCCTTTGGTCAGAACCAGCAAGCCCCATTATGGGCCCTAAATAACTATGCTTTAATGTTCAGCAAATACAGATCTGACTAATTTGGTGACCTGTAAGCACCCTGTGAACTTAGGTCAAATTAGTGACCAACCTATTTTTTTTTTTTTTTTCTGAAGAGAGCATTAAATTTAATAGACATATGGTTAATGTATGCATTCATACAACAGTAATTGCTTTAAGAAGTTTGCATTACAGAAGCTAGTAATTACATTATGCAACATTTTCAAAACTTGCTCCGCACATTCATGATTAACCACATCACTATGTGCATGTGTCTATAATTTTGCTCTCTGAGCCATGGCTCTTCATGGGAACTACTGTTATTGCATCAGCATTTGTCACCCACGGCGAAGTGAGAGGAATCTGATTCATGAGCGGAATCTTGCTCAGGAGCTATTCTCAGTACCCTGCTTTTCACCTCAGACTTCTAGAGTCTGAAAGACTACCAGCTGGAAGGTGACAATCCCAAATAAGAAGCCAATTAAGATGAAAGCAGCAGTTACAGAGTCCTCCAAAATCTGTGGCCCCAAAAGCTGTGCTTAACTGCAAACAGGACACCTTCCCACCGACAATTTCCCTGTGCACTGCTGCTGCTGTGTCATGACAGCCAATTACTCCAATTCGTCAATGCCAGCAAGGAGCCTCTTGTGTTTAACCTTTATTTGTGACCTTTAAATAGCTATGGTAGGGCACACAACTTCAATAAACAGTGGGAGTTGGATGTCTAAACTGACTACAGAATTGGATATCCTAGGTTGGATGGGGCCCTGGGTAACCTGACCTAGTACCAGGTTTGGAGATTGGTGGACCTGCCTATGGCAGGGAGGTTGGAACATGATGATCCATGGGGTCCCTTCCAACTCAAGCCACTCTATGATTCCATTATTGTATGATCTCATGGGTTGCTCCATTATGTCATCTTTCTCATCATCACCTCCAAACACATTCATCCGGTGGGCTTCAGTGCAACCCTCACATGATATGTGTCACTTTGACAAATGGTGCAATCCAAGAATGGACACGGCTGCAGCTGTGTCTAGGACTGCTGTAGATGCCTTGGAGCTGGTGCCTGGAGCCATCATGCTGGAAAGAGGCTAGCACCTGTAGTGGAGCCAGAACCACTGAATTTTCGAGACTTTGTCCTGATAAATGTGAGGCAGTTTGACAGATGAGGCTATAAGGGATAACTTTTAACATCCAGGCTTATATTTTCAGGTGTAAATGGAGCCATCTTCATTTGAAAATTTTAGGAAATTCACCCCAGGTCCCCTATAACATGAGCCCTGTCTTGTCCATGGCTACGTACAAATGGCACAGTGGTGTTACTGCCATATCTGCAGCTTGGCAGGAGTTCCTCCATTGATCAGACTTTGACTCCATGGCCTTTGAAGAGCCTGAGAAAAAACTCTAAGCAAAATACTGATCATAACCAGCGTCACGGCAGGAAAATAAATAACCAAACTTTGCAATAAAGCAGCCATCATCCTGCCTTGTGAAGGGAATATATATTCTGTTCTCACATTTGTTTTGAAGTGTTAGGAAGCAAAAGTAAATATTACAGTGCACCAGTCTGACAAGTAGGTGCTCCCTAACTTAGTGAGTAGGAAGCTGCATTCCCAGGGGATGACATAGAATCATAGAACCATAGAATCCTTTGAGTTGAAAGGGCCATTAAAGTCTATCCAGTCCAACTCCCCTGCAGTAAACAGGGACACCGACAGCTAGATCAGGGTGCTCAGAGCCTTGTCCAGCCTGATCTTGAGTGTCTCCAGGGATGGGGCATCCACCACCTCTCAGGGCAACCTATTCACCAGCGCAGAGCACAGAGGCAGGATCACCTCCCTTGCCCTGCTGGCCACACTTCTTTTGATGCAGCCCAGAACATGGCTGGTTTTCTGGGCTGAGGGCACATTGCCTGCTCATGTTCAGGTCACCATCTTCTGTTACCCTCTGTGAAAGACTATACTTTTAGTCTCAAAGCTTGCCTGAGTGCTTGCAGTCAGCCCCTGTTGGACTGGCCTCACCTCTGCCTACACATGGTTGCCAGGGGCAACAAAGAATGTCCTACAGATAAGCAACTGGAAGAATGGATTTTGTGCAGCCGGATCACTCTTGGGGGATGGGCTCAGAGGGGTCTAGCTACCCAAAAGTAGAAAAGCCTGTAGAGAAGTGCCGTATGTGCCATTATCATAGGAAACTATGAAAAGAAAAAAAGAAAAAAAGAAAAAAAAAGAAAAAGACTATTAGAAAGGACTCCTAAGGCAAAGGAACTCCTGTATACTCTCACAATGGACCTGAAGACTACGGGCTCATGGAATGCTGTGAATCCACTGCAGGACTATTTCTGCTTTCTATAATGAACTCTTGCTTTTATTTCCTATCTTTCTTCTGTCGCTTTCTTCTCTATTCTCCTCCCCCAAGTCTTACTAGCTAGGATTTGCAGTAAGCTGGTTGGGCAGCATTTGCCTCCTTTAAAGTCTTAATCTCACTAGGTGTATATATATATATATGACAGATCTCTCTCTGCCTGCAATAACTGGTGCAAGACACCCACAGGTCCTTTCTGGCAGGGCTGCCCAGGCTCTATCCTTACATCCCCCAGCTTGTGGGTTGATAGGGGAAATTGCTATGATTCAGATGCAAGACTTGGATTCATCGACCCTCATGGGTCCTCCTGGGCTCACTGTTCAAGCCTGTCCAGATCTCTCTGTGCATCACTCCTCCAGTTCCCACCTTCTTGAACCATCTACTTGAAGGCTGTGTGTAGAGCAGTCACTAGTGAAGACTGAGGCAAAAATTTTGTTGAATACCTCAGCCTTCTCCTTGTCCACTGTTACTACTCTGTGTTTAATAATGTACATTTATTAATGAGGTACTCAGTGAGAAAGGCAAATACTTCCCTCCTGCCTGGTCTTGCAGCAGCATTTAAGACTAAGATTTTTTCCCACAAGCACGGTGTTGTCCCATGTGCTTTGTAGAGGTCAAAGGGGCAGAGTCCCCAAAGATTTCTGGAGTCTGCTGTGTGGCACAGTGTTTTGTGTTGAATTCAAAGTTACCCAATAAATTCCCTCATCAGAGCACTGAATCGAGGGCATCAGCAGTACTACTTAGTCACACATATGGTGCTTTGCTGTGATTTCCATTTCAAAGTCTACTGTCACTTATTTCTGTTTTTCTCACAGCTGCCCACTCCCAGTCTTCGCAGGCCCCGAATAGATTGCTGGCATATGTAAATCAATAGGGTTTTCTCTCTGCCACACATGGTGGCATTGCAGACTGGACAATTCCCGCTTAATTTTAAGATGTTAATGTCGTTAACATTGTTTTGTCTTTTTCTTGTCTTGGTGTTGCTTATTCTAGGGTGTAGGACAAATGACAAAACAAATAGTTACATACTAATTTAATCAGCAGAGAAAGAAATATTGAGGAAAAAATCATTGATTGATAGTCATAGGACACTTTCACTATCACGTAAGGGGAGGACAGTTTTAAACTAGAGGAGGAGATTTAGGTTAGATGTCTGGAGAAAATTTTTCACTGAGAGAATGGTGAGGCACTGGCCCAGGCTACCCAGAGAATCTGTGGATGTCCCATCCCTGAAGGCATTCAAGGCCAGGTTGGATGGGACCCTGGGCAGCCTGATGTAGTGCCTGATGCTAGCAGTGCTGCCCATGGCTGGGGGTTGGATCTAGATGCTCTGTGATGTCCTTTCCAACCCAAGCCATCCAATGATTCTGAAAAAAAAAAAAACCAACAAACAAAACACCACCACCATCAACAACAAAAAACTAAGTCCTGACTAATTCCAAGAATCCACTGCATGATTGTGAGATTCAAAACCAGTACTTACCAAACCAGCACCACATATAGAGGAGAAATAAATCTTGCTTCAAAGAAACCCAAGGCTTTGAGCAACACAGTTCTCCAAAGACAAACTCACGGTAAATCCTTACCACATCCTGCCTGCACGGCTGCTTTGGGCACTGTTACATTTTCCAGCCAAGAGCAATATTCAGTACGGAATTCTCATTCATTCAAGTAATTGCAGCCAGGTCCTACTGCCCCCAGCTATTTCACTTTCCTGACCTACCTTAAAGCGTTGTACAGCCTCTTGTGTCCTACAAATGGGCAGCACTGCTATCTGCAGAGCCACTGTGAAAAGAGATGGACCCTTCACACCTCGTGCTGTTGTGAGAGCAGCTGATGGTAGCGGTGCTCCAAAAGCTCAAGAGGAACGCTTAGGTAAAAAAGGTGCTGTTATTGTATGAACAGATTCTAATAGAACATGGGAAAGAGGAACTGACAGGTTCCTGTTTTTTTCCCTAGCTCGATGTATACTTCCTATTCGCAGTACGTGCGTGGAGAACGCTTGAAAACTATTTTGCTCTCAAAGAGATCTTCCTTTTTCCATTTGGCAGATTCCTTCTCATGATGAACAAAGAAGAAACAAAAAGAAGGATGAATAAATCAACAGCTCTTTTTCTCTCATCTGTGCCTTGACTTTTACAAGCACTGGTGTCAGGGCATTACTCTAACAGACGTATCTACATTTTGTATTTCTACACTATCTTATCTGGTATAGGTGTCACTGCAATAAAAGAAACAAGTCAAGTTTCAATTAGAGGTGCTTGAATTGGTTTCCTCCACGTATTTTTAAATAAAAATTGCTTTTCAACCAAAATAATATTTGATCTGCTGTTTAAAACTTCAATTTTTCCAAACAATGAACCTAATTTAAAATAGCTTCTTGTACTGTCAGCAAAAGTCAAGATCTGATTTTTCAGAAACTGAAACACTCCGAACCAAAACCTTTTCTATTTTTAAAAATGGTCAAGAATTCTAATAATTTTAGACAAAAAAATATGGTCATGTTTCCAAGCACTTTGTTACAATAACAATAGCATACAAATGCTCCCCCTGTTGGTTGACTTTTTAAACCTATTTCAAACGTAATAGCAGTGTGTATGAAGAGCTTATTTCTTCCTTTGAAAAAAATAATATGACGCAGAAGAATAATTCATTCAAATTGCTGCCAATCTACAAGGCAAGTTTAATTAAATTTTTACAGCCATTTAGGCAAATGATTTATGCCTAGAACTATATGATATTCACACACTGGAACTCTTAAAATTTAATTTTGAAAGGTTTGCAATCTAATTTTTCCTGGTCCAAGAAAAGCACTCTCTTGCAGTAGAAAGAATAATAACATTATTCTATTTCCTTGTGGAGTGAAAAGGCACCATTCCATACCATTAAGAAAACACTTCTTCATTAGCGTTGACGACAACAATACCGTAATACTGAGGAGGAATTTGGGAGTTTTGTTTATGCACATTAAATTTCCAACAAGTAGTTCTTTAGGAGCTGGAGTGGTTTTGTGTAGAGAGGAACCTTCCTGAGCCTAACAGTTGCCATCAAGAAAAAAAAAAAAAATCTGTTTCCATGGAAACATCCGAGGTGGACCAAGCATAGATTAATCAAAATACAATGAAGCCTTTTTGCAAGGTACCAGAAAAAAATCGAGTTTAAATTGAGCACCGCTGCTCTTTCCTTCCATTCACACTGGAAAGCATGGGAAATTCTCCCCAAATGCCTATGTGACATACAGTTTAATTAGCATGGTAGAAAGTTGGTTTTCTTTATAATTATAATCACTGGATGGTTACGAGCCAAGAGCCAAAGAAACATTAACATGAAAAAAAGAGAGGGAGCGAAATAAATAAATAATTGAAAAGTACATTTACATTCCTCTTTTATTTGCAACTGATTGTATCGAGTGGTTCTTTTTATGTTTAAAAAAAAAAAAATTAAATAGCTTTCTCTGTATACTTAGCACTGGAGGCTCATTCCTTAGCACTGAAGGCTCATTCTAGTATTCAAAGTCTGAGCTGTAGTTTGGAGATGCTTTTTTTATTATTATTCTACATGATATCAAATCATTCTCAGCTGCCACAGACAAGAAATTTCTGCCATCAGAAACTAGCTGCAAATTCTGCCACTGCACAGAGATGGACAAAAGAGTTTATGTAAAAGCCAACCTCCCTCAGCCCACATTGTCAACAAAGACCTCACTGAAAAGCTGCGACACCCTCCATTTTTATAAGAACATTTTAAATGAAACTCTTCTTTTGACCATTCTTTGAGTTGACAAAATAAACACTTTTTTGTTTGTATGTTTGTTTGTTTGTTTTTGTTTCTACAATAACTGGAGCTGTTTTCTAATTATTCCATGACTGGAAGATTGTTAAAAAATATGCTGAAGGTAAAAAAAAAGCAGCGTACCATAATTGCAATAGAAACCAATAGATGTCAAATGATTGCAAGCCTTCCATTCATACACAACAACACGATACTAATGTCATAGATACAAATGCATTTCCACTTCTAATCCTACCTTGGAGAGAGGCTCTGGTCTGAAAAACTGCCAGCAACAGCATTGGCAGGGTTCCACTTTTGTGTTTTTCAAAGGTTTGGTAGCAAATACATTCAAGGATTTTGTTCCTCTTTATTTTATTACTTTCCAGCAGGGAGCTGAGCATCAAGCTGGGTTTTCCATTTCCAGCATTGCCATTAGTAATAAAGGCTATGTCAGCCAAATTATGATCACAATAATCTGCCAGTAGTTGCTCTGTTATTAAGAGATTTGCTCAGCCATTGCTTGGGGAAGAAGCCCCAGGCTGGCGAGTGGCACGTGTGGATACCTCAGTATGTGGGGAGGATGAGCACTACCAGCTCCCGCAGGTTTAAATGAAGTAGAAAGCAGCAAATACTTCATTTCAGTCATTCAGGCAGGCGTATGTGACTGAATACACAACAGCGTGGTCTGTGCAATCACACACCGCAGCGGCACATCCTGAGAAACAGATAAGAGCAAGTTTTTAACCACACTACGGATGCAATAGGTGATTTAGTGGTCTTCTCCAGCCTTAATGATTCTATAAAATATTACCCGGGGTTGATAACCCAGCTCAGATGCTTTAAGGCAGCATGGGGACAGGCGCATCCCCCTACTCATGAAGCAATGGTAGGTGCACAGAGCACCATGAGGGACAAGGGCGAGGAGGAATCACTCCACACAAGCCCAGGTGAAGCTGTGCAAGGGCACAGGCATGCCGAGTGGCACAGATGTCCTCGCTGAGATGTCAGCTGTGGGAGATAGGGACATATGGAAACACAGCTTCCACTCCAGCGAAAACAAGGCCACATGGCATGCGGAGGAATTAACACTTGAAGTGCTGCAGGAGAGACCAAAACTGCCCTATTGCCGGGGCTGGGATGTGTAAGGAAAGGTTTGAGGATGCCGAGTAGGATCAGGGTAGGGGGGATTCCCTGTGCCCCCTTGGGCACTGTCTCCAACTCTGCAGATCTGCTCCTTAGTTCTCCCTGCTCCATGCTGCAAGCCTCAGAGGCTGCTCCCTCACTCACCAGCCTCTTTCCCCCTTTGTAGGGACACAGTGATCCTTCCAGGCTTTGGCTGCACTGGTGGAGTAGAGGGGCAGAAGGAGAGAGGGTGCCCTGAGGACCTCCTCAAGGAGCCTGGCATGCATCTTCTTCCGTCCTCACTGGCCAGCTCAGCTCTTCCAGCTCACATGAAGCAGGTGATCTCCTGCTCTCAGCAGCCAACAAAGAGGATGAAGGGCTTTAACTGTCATTTGTTGGGTTTCTGTCTGAAGCAAATTGAGACCAATTTTTTCCCTCTGTTTGTATTCTTCTTTCCTTAAACTAATGCTTAATGTCCAACACCTCTTCACAGAAGCAGCTTCTTTCATTGGTCCATTTCAATATAAAATTGCCCCAAAGGTCAGAATCAATACAAAGGTGCAAGAAAATCCTGAAGCTACCTATCCCTTCTCCAGCAGATCTACTGACACAGATTGCCAGATCCCATCTCACGCTACCCTGGCCTGTACTGGAGTTGCAAAAGTTGTTGAACATCACAGTGTTAGGCTCAGCAACCCAGCAATTCCTAGTGTGAGCATTTTTCACAAGGAAATTTGGGTTGGTCCTGGTGAAAATATCCCTTCAGAACAAACACCTTCTTACTAGGGGGTCTCTTTAGAATTAAGCAAAAGAGATAAAAGAAGTAATTATCTCCTTGCTACCTATGACAATACCTTTCTGAGGATAACACAAGTCTTTCTGAGGCAGCCATGACATCTCTCCGTACTGAATACTTTAAACACTGTTTTCTTTACAATGCTACATCATATAGCGCTGGGAATGTGCCACCATCACTTGGGTGACAAGGGACATCTAGTGGCACATTTGCAGTTTAGCTTTGCTGTTAGGAAAAATAATAATATATTTACAGTAAAAGGCTGGTTATTTTAAAGGCCTGTAATGAGTAATAAAGCACATAAGCTTCCTCCTTTACTCATAGAAATGCATAGCTTCACTGTAGCTCATAATTGTGCAGCAAAATAAATCAGAACATGACCATAACAAGACTCTACTGGTTTGGAATAGGAATCACTTCACAGAACATGGTTTAAAACAGGAGAGAAAAATCAGGGAGGCTAAGGCAGCTTGTCAGAGCAAGATGGAGGCAAATGGGGAATGGGAACCTCAGACTTCTAAAGGCAGCACTTTAGAAGATCGCAGGATAATTCAGGTGGGAAGGGACATCAGGACATTCTGAGTTCAGCTTGTTGCTCAAAGCAAGGTTAGGTGTGAGCTCAGACAAGGCTGCTCTGTCTCTTGTCCCTCTTTCAGGTGTGCTGAGAAGAGCCCACCACCTAAGTCAAGGTGTTCAAAGCCTTTCCTGCCAAGCTACTCCCCAGCCTCTGTCAGTTCTAGGGTTCATCCATCACAGATGCAGGACTCAGCATTCATTCTAGCTGAATTTCACGAAGTCCTCATTGGCTCCTTCCTTCCAGTTGTTTGAGTCCCCATTTGGGACTGCTGACCATGGAATATTTGCAACCAAAGTTTTGTAGTATATTTTAGAAATTTCACATGCGGACTGGATCTCACAAGTCCCTCAGGAGTTTATGAACTCCCAGGTGGTCTGTTCCAAACCCTGAAATTGTATATGTAAGGAGAAACCTCTCTCAAATGTGTTCTCTTTTTCCCAGTAGCATTATAGACTACATTTTAAAAAGGATACTGAAAACAGTAGGCACTTAACATGCACACAAATCTCATGATTTCAAATATATGAGAACGTTCTCCCACAGCAATGTGGCATGGCATAACTTCTGTTGAGCTTTGTTCAACTGGATTCCTTTTCACACAGCAGCTTCAGCCTGGAGTTAGGCAGGCTTATAAAGTTTTTCCTTCCCCACTTTTGGTGCTATGGCTTGTCATGTTGCACCACTAGAATGGTCAAAAAGCAGCCCTGCAAGAAAAGGGGTGGAGTGAGAGCCAGGATTACACCCATCTCATTTGCTTGTATCAGTAATAAGGAATCAAAACACTTTCATTACAAACCTAGTGACAAAATCAATTTCACAGAATTTTCTTCATAAGCAGCATACAGTTACATTCTCACATCTGTGTGCTCCCGATGAGTGAGATTGGTCTGGACACCAGGCATGTGGACAGTGACTGAATCGTGGAGACCTGGGGAAGAAAATAAAGGTGGCTCAAGGAAAGCAGGGATGATGCAATGGCACCCAAATCCAAAGCAGGCCAGTCAGAGAGTATTTCACTGGAAGGAAAATGCTATAGGTATTCACACACAAATCCTAGAGATTGGTCTTTTAATTACTCACCAGTAACCATGGAGCTTCACAAGGTTTCTGCAGTCTCCATGCAGAAGGTACACAGCAGTACTGAGTGCCAATGGCAACCTAATAGGAAATAGCCAGTCCTTGTTTTGTTTTTTCCTTCAGGCCATGTATGTTATTTTACTTTTGATAATCTTAGAAAGTTTGCTATGGGAGTTCTTATGGTGGAACAGCTCTCCTGAAGGAGACATCCTGTCCTCCTCTGTCTCTCATTGTCTCCATGCTTTCCATGGTGGCTTTCCAGACACTCCTGGCTCTCTCCTTCAGGCTTCCAGATGTGCCTTTAGTCTCTCAAATAAGTTCCTGCTGTTGACCAAATCTGTGTTTTTATTTTTTATGAACAGACTTTAACAGTTATTTTATGGGTTCAGCCAAAATTGGTACCAATAAAATGTTTAAATTGCAGACCCTGGAAGTCTCATAATGAGCAACGTAAACAACAAAACACTTATAAAAAAAAAATCCTTTGTGAAATGAGATTATAGTGCTAAATAAAAACCTCTCTCTACTCTGCAATTTAAAATAAAATACAGCAATTAGGTGATTCAAGCAATGAACACGCGAAGAAGGAATCCAGCTGAGTGCCACATAATATCCAAACCGAAAATGCAACAGTTACAGTAATACTTCTTACTTCAGAGCTTTATACTTGCTATATGTCAACACATGGGGTTGCAGTGTGGAGATGGGTGAGAAAGGAAGGGCAGGAAGACCATCTGGGGTTTTGGAAGAGCAGGTTGTATTTTATCTTTCAACACAGAGATGAGGTTACGCATTAGGCCTCAGGTCAACCTGGCTGCTTGTTGTCACTGAAAGGGGACAGTTGTACTTCGCTCTCCTTTACTCACTTAGTGCCAGGTCTCCTGACCCCTGCAGTGCCCATAGGCCACCTCAGGGCTCCCATATGGGGCTGCAGTGCTGAGCCAGCAACAGCCAGCTTGGGAACTATTTTCATAGGGCTTATAAACTTCACCTGGTAAAACCCTCCCAAAAAAAACCTGAGGTTTCAGCTTCACTGAAAGAGCTTTGATGCTCCTCTTTTTCCAGGCAGCACCAATATAATATTTTTTTCTTTTTCTTCAGCTCTGGCCTGCCTGTCTTAGCTGTTCCTGTGAAGGCATTAGGGAAAAATACCCATATAACAGAGCAACAGTGGCTGTATCCTGCCAGGTGGCCAAAGCTCTCTGACCTCAACGCAGAACTCTCACATGGCTGCAGCCTACCTGCATCTCAGCCCAGGCTCCCCACATGCGGTTAAGAATAGCTGATTTATTTGTTTTCCTCTTATGCCCTGTTCCAAAATAATTACAAAGAAAATCTGTGGCTGGGAGAGAGTAAATAATGGCACTTTGGGAGGTGCAAGTGAACCACAGAAACCCTGACTCATCGAACTCACTTTCAGCTTGTTTGCCTGTTTTTCTCCTTCCATCCATCCCTATTTTTTTTCTACAGATTTTCCCAAGTGATCCCTCCTAGACTACTTGCTTTACCCATTCACTTTCTTTTCCCTTGCTCTATTAGTTTCTCACACTTTCTCGTTCTTTCCTTTCCTTTTTGCCCCCTTCCTCCTCCCCCCCCCCCCCCCCTGCTTCCTACTCCCCATTCATTTCCCCCAACTGCCACCTTCTACAAACACTGTGACCCACTATAAAGCAAGGCGTTTGAGAACCGTGTGGATGTGGCACCGAGGGACATGGTTAGTGGGCATGGTGGGGATGCGCTGATGGTTGGACTACGTGATCTTAGTAATCTTTTCCAACCTTAATGACACTATGATTCTATGACAGCAGGCTGAAAGGAAGACAGACAGAGAGAAGACATGGCATTATGGATCAAAAGACAAATGAGAACGTTTTTTCATGGGAAAAAGTTTGAGAAATTGGCTTGCCTTTTCCAGCTCTTGAAAAATAAGCCCATATATTTTATTAAGCATTTCACTGGAATTCTAATTAAATTAAACTTCTGTGTACACCTGTACATTCTCTTCTCCCCCTCATCTTTTTGTTTCCCTTTTTTTCTGACCAAAACCACTGTACAGTGCCCTGCCCATCAGCTGCCACCTTGTTTTCCCCAGTGCTGACAGCAACTGGAGTACAAATGAGAATCTCAAATTTGCAGCTGGCAAACTGCTGCTGCCACGGCATGACTAAAAGGTCCCAAAGAGCACACGACACCTTCGCCAGCCCCTCTGCTACCTTCGGCAAAAAGTTCTCCTTCCCAGCAGCCAGTGCCGGGAGAGAGGCTGGAAGAGGAACGGGGCTTTAAATAGCTTTAAGTGTTAGAATTACAGTGCGAAACGTCCCAAAGAAAGCAACCAGCATGGGCTTACATGACCCCAGAGGAGTTTTATGTTGGTACGGAAATAGAAGGGAGGAACTATTTCTGAGTACAGAAGCTGCAGCACTTAAGCTGTTCCCGGTGCCCGCCGAGGCTGGCAGGCCAGTGCTGCACCAGCAGCTGGCACTGTTGCTCCACTGGAGGAGCAGCGAGAGGTTCAGCACCCTGCGCACACAGCGGGGTGGTACGCAGCGCCTGTGCGTGGTTGCGCACACACTGGGTATGCACTCTGTGCGTGTTTATGCATCGGCATCTCACAAGGAAGGAAAAAGCTTCCTAACGTGCATACATCCACCACCTTCACTTAGATCCCACACCCGTAAATCTGATCTGTGGACACTGAGACAGGTGGGAAATAGTGACGTGCAATAAAAATGGGGGAAATTCAGGTTGATTTCCTGCATGTCCCAAGTCATACATTCTCTGCCTCCTGTACGTCATCTATTCCTGGAAACAGAAGGCTCGGGAAAGACCTTATTGCTCTCTACACTGACCTGAAGTGAGGTGTGGTATGGTGGAGGTTTGCTTCTTCTCCCAGGTAATAGCAACAGGACAAGAGGGAATGGCCTTAAGTTGCACCAGTAGAGGTTTGGGTTGGATGTTATGAAACTTTTCTCCTTGGAAAAAGTGGTGCTGCAGTGACACAGGCTGCCCAGGGAGGTGGTGGAGTCACGGTCTGTGGAAGTGTTCCAGAACCATGAGGATGTGGCACTGAGGGACGTGGGCAGTGAGTATGGTGGGCATGGGATGATGGTTGGCCTGGGTGATCTTAATAGTCTTTTCCTTCATGATTCTATGAAAACACTTCACAGAAGAAATAAGTCTTCTAAACTCACTCTAATAATAATGAGGGTGTGGAATCTTTCTTCCAAAGAGCAGGAGCCTCCTCTGCTCATACAAAGAAACAGAGATTTGCCTTCTTTCCCCATCACTTCAGAAGACAAGGAGAAGCCATAGCATAGAAAAAGATAAAAAGGAAATCCAATTACTTCACAACTACTTCAGGATTTGTCAGATGCTGAGGAGGTTAAAACCAGGCATAAATGCAGCAGAGGCAAGGAGCTCAGTGGAAGGAAAAAACACTGTACCCACCCACAGATCTGCCCTTCATAGATTTTAGTGCTTGACAGAAAAAGCAAAAAATGTAGATGGATGAGAGCAAAGAAGGAAAGGAAAGAACTGAATAAAAACAACTTAATGTTCTAAAATACAAAAATTGGAAAAATCCATGAGGTGAGAAGAGAGGAACTAAACAACAGCAGCAAAAATATTTTTCATTGTGAATCTACAGAAAAGGAAACCACTTCATTACATCACATAGGAAATTTTAGCCAGCCCCAGTACAGGAGCCTAAAAGTGTGTCAGAAGGACAGGCAGGTGTCTGCTCTGCCTGCACTCCTCACAATGAGGACTGTTCTGTGATCGAGGTAATGTCCGGCCTGAGGCATCTGCAAACCAGAAAGGAAAAGTCTGGGCTAAATAAAGATGAAGAGTTCTTAAGGCCTTTCTGTTGGTCATTGCTGTTGAGGAAGTTTCCTCATTCTAAGTGGGGGGTGGGAAATTGAGCTAATTACTGAGAAATAGTAGAGATATGCAAGGAAATCGATCAGTTCAGGGGTTCAGAAAAGAAAACTGGCCAAGGAGCTAGATGGAAGGGAAAGGGGAAAGGGCTTTGTCTAAACAGCATGCTACAAGAAACAAGAAAAACACTGCAACAGCAGCAGTGAAATCCTTCCTTCCTGTGACTGCAGCAGCAGCAACTCCAGAGTAAATTGGGGGGGGGCATATATACAGTGCATGTGATTTACTAGCTTGAAAAACAAGTACTTCACTGGGGAACGATGCATTTCTTGGAGTGGGGAGAAAGAGAAGGCCATTCAGCAACACCTTAGCACATCTGCCTGTTGCAACAATGCTCAGCAGAGAACCAGACTCTGGGAGCAGCATCTGAGTTTCTCCATGACATACTGGCATAGCCCCAGTGACAGTTTTGCCAGAGAGAGAGTTTGTCTTCCAGTAAGCACATGAACTCAGAGGAAACCTACCATGAACTGAAGACTCTTCAGTCTTTGTAAACCCTGAAAGAACACAGAATGATAGCAATCCTCCCACAGTCTCCCTTCAGTATGAATTTATTGTATCCTGTAGCACTGATACGTGTAGCTATACACAATTGCTGAAGTCTCAGCAGTCCATATGTGTGGAAGAGGGGAATATTGTGATGTCTCTTTTAGTCTTACCCTCTGTTACAGATCAACAGCTGTCTGGGGGGAGATGCTACGTGACCACAAAAATGAGTGCACAGCATTGAGAAAGTAGCAGCCAGTTTCTGAGTGCCTGTGCCACGTGAACATCTTATAAATAAGTGGGACTCGAATCACACTTGCCTATGGCCTGTGGCCTCAGTGAGCTCATCAGGCCATGTAGAAGGACAGCATCAGCTTTGTGCCAGTGGCATGTTTGTGGCACCTGGAAGTGCCACAGGGATCCCTGGAT